AAACTTCTCTGAATCCGTGGTGAAGGTATGTGTTGCAGTGAGACAGTTATTCTTAATCTCCTTCAAAATATTGATGGCGTTTGTTCCATTCTTCACGTGAGAACACCTCAAAATTAATTCTGGTCTTTGCATCTATAATTATACATCCCCTTCAAGAGTATTCACCGAACACTGATGAGATTATTGTGGCCTTCGAATTCTGTCTGGAAATCAGTTTCTATACGCTTGAATGAACTTTGTATCGACACATCCATAGTGAAGCGATAGCTTCAATAGCGCTACTAATAATTGCAAGTGAATGTAGTAATGAACGAGGAACTCGTTCGATACTGATAAAGCCTGTGGGTCATTTATTTTCAAAAAGGGTTTCGAGTAGATTCAGTCGAAAGGAAAGACATGCAAACAGATATTGTATTCGTTCCTACAAATACAGTGGACACCATACAGCGAAGGAGACTAAGGGTTTATCTGAAGGAATGGGTGATTAGGTGACGCTCATATGGATTTCTTATTGTTTCAATCATCCGGTAGTATTCCTTGATCACTACACAAACTCACACACATTTCTGATTGGTTTCCAACAAAAACACGTAGAGTTCTGTGAACTTAATATCTGAGAGAACGTGATTTGTCAGTATATGCAACAAAACTGCATCCCATGCTATTCTGCAGATACGTATTTCACTTGTTGATCCTGACGAAAATGAAGGATTTAGCAACAAAACACGCTGAGAATATCTGTATCATGTATTGACACACCGGCAATTAATAGGGAATGGTTGATCCGCAATCATGGTTATAGATGTAGATGGTTTGCTAGATCACTACATTCGAACAATTCAGCATGTCAAGTGTTTTCGTGTTTGTAGCGAGCTGAACCGGCGTGTTGTGATGTGATTTGAGGAAAGCAGTCTTTGTGTGCTACTGTATAATTAACGATAAATCGGCTGTGTAGTGCACATTTAAGAGTTGCACAGCGACAGTAAAATGACATCAATTTGTTTGTGATAAACTTTGCCGTACTTTTCATTGATTATTAAATTTCGAAACACAAAATCACCTTGACAATGCTGTTAGTCAGCAACACAGATGAAATTACTTCTGAGACACAAGTGCAAAATAACTACCATTTAACAGAATTATGTACTCGAAATTATCTGGAATAAAAAAAACAAAACAAAAGCAAAATTCTTGAGCCAAATACTTAAAAACACTCCAAGTTCAGAATCAACTTCCCCGAAAAAAATCACAAACGTAAAACAACGCACTGTCAATGTTATCATCACACAGGCAAAAAGAGGCGCATTAAAAGTAGAGGTGAAATATGAAGAAAGACATATAGTAAGCATAAGTCAATAGGTAGTGTGCTCGCAATGGGACAGTGATATATCAATACAACCTGGTATAAAAGATGAGAATAAATACAGAGTTACTTGAAATATCAAAGTATGCACGAATATTGCAGATACATCGTTGAAGATGGAGTTAGCTTACCATTATTGCGGTAAATCTTCTCTAAACTGTACGGTTCATTTGTCAAGCATTCATTGCCCTCCAAGGCAATACACTCACTGCATATCTCAATACTAAGTGAGCTCATGGAATTCTCAATGAGTTTATTAACTATCTCTACTGATATGAAGAAGAGAAAGAAGACTGAACCAGCCTCAATTATCACTCATATCTGTGTCAATGTTTGTCAACAAAGCAGTGACAATCATTAGTATCACTGAGACAACTGCAAGCACTAATACTCTACTTGCCCCAGCTAGATAAAATTGTATAAATCAAGTTTTTAAAGATTCACTTTACATATTATTGAAAAGGAAAGTGAACTTTAAAATTCCTGTTAGCTTCAGTTACAACAATGTTGTTTTTGCAAACGTGACATGTTCAATCGTACGACGACAGTGTTTAGTAATAAGACGACCAGCTGAAGAATAATCAGAACCAATGATCTCCAGTCTTTGTGCGAGAGAGTTATCCTTGTTATTTGTTTCCCCTCTCACCACCTCGTTGTTTTTACCACAGAAGTATATGGCCTGATTAATTCTGTAGAATGAAATACTCTCCAATGTCTACGTCAGATTCCTGTGTAGTTTGTAGTTGTTCAGAAATACCGCAAAACATTCATATTAACTCAACTTTGCTTCAATTCGCTTTTGTGTAAGACAACGAACATTACGTTGTTTGAGCAGAGTGGAGAGGTGAAGGATCACTCTGATAATAGAAGCACCCAGAAATCATTATTTATAAAATTAATTCAATACATCAATCTGTGTATACACTATGAAAACATGGAGAGATACCAGTCACCATAGTGGATTCAAAATAAAGATCATCTTGTGTGTCTTAAAGAGACCTGTGATGTAGAGTGTGGTTGCTCAACATTTGAACAGCCATGATCAGCTCGAAAACACAAGGCTCACGCTATGTTGTCCTACAGTAATTTCCAAGTTGTCGAAAGCATTTATTCATCTAGGAATATCTTATATACTCCAGTGGTCGATTAGTCATCTCACTTGTTAGTCGCCTACCTCACGAGTGATCCAAGGGTCTGTCGAGCATTGGCGTCTAGTGTTTCACAGATTATCACAGTAGCCTTCCCGTGTTTTTGACTCGCTCGATACTTCCATCAATCTAGATTCTCTATTAAATATATCTGAATGAAGACCTAGTGAATGTAACTCCCACGGAACAGTGATGTAATCAGGATATTCTGCAAAAATATAAACATCATTCTTATTCCTACTTGAGTCCCTTGAGAAAAGTTCAATCTGGTGACTGTTGCGTGATATATCTGTGCATTTTCAGAGAAGATGAGTTCTGATTTCTCCATTGGTTCAACTTCACTTTAAATTTCACATATATTGTCCTTAAACTGATGAAGTTGTGCCATTTTAATATCATGAGACATGTTAAGTGACAGTTATTTTATGACCAGTAAGACAAGCTAATATTAGAATCGAATTGAATTTTAATTTTACTTGGTGATGGTGATAATTTGTAATTGTATTGTCATTTCTACAAATACTTCAGAATCAAGTGTTTGTGAAATTGAATGCTGTAGACATATTAAGGGCGTTCTCAACGGAATTCTCACTCTTCGCTTTTAGCATCAATGTACTGGATATTCACATGTAATTATCAATACTTGAATTTGAGGGGATGGTTGTTTTTCAGGATGTAGGTGATTCCGATCCACTCCTTACATTCAAGGTTATGTAGGAAATGTCCTGTTGAAAGGATCGATGATGAACTAGAGACAGTTAGACGAGACCTCATGGGAAATAGACATCCTTCAAGATTAATCGAGGAAAACATGAAAGTAAGACGAAAACCGAAAAAAGAATTCAGATAGTGCCAAAGAAACTGTTATTCTTGAACGTTGAATGTAGAAGTGATGCTGTAACCAAAATACTAAAGAACCACGCATCCAGATCACTGAGGAAAGCCTTCTTTTCTGCTGGACTACATATCAATTTATACAGCCAACAATTGATCGGTGGATTTGTGAGTGAAAACTGCTGTCGATTCATTGCGTGTTTCTGTCGAGCTAATTACATTGACCGCACGATGTGTACACTTTCCAAACGCATCTGTGAACATTATTCGGCATAGTCAGCAAAAAGACAATGCAATACGGATACTGGTTTAATTCACGAGGACTTGATGAATTCAAGCCACGCAGCTCTAGCAGAGTCGTCTTTCAAGATTATCTACAAGGTGAGGCAAAATGGTACAAAGAGTGTTAGGTATCGGCATTTGTGTTTGGCGGAGTTGTTCGCGATTCGTTAATACCATCGTGAACTTTGTATAGAGAAAACGTTTGTCCAGTCTTATTGGCTTAATGTTAAAAATTGGATACGCTGGTAGAGTATAACTCCATTTTGTTTTGATATAAACACACAGTGTTGTACAGAAGTATTCACTGATGACTGATTTCGAATTATTGTGTAAGTGTGAAGCACAGAAATACATGAACATATCCATAATGCATTATACAGAATATTATTGAGTGAATGAATCTCAGATAAGTCTAAATGTGGTTGATACACTTTTCCATTTTACCTCCTTTTTAAGAAATTGAATTCTTGTTCTTGAATAACTGATCTTTCCGTACAAAGTATGAATGGCAGCAAACGCTTTGTAGATTGCACACTGGTAATGCTGACGCAGTGCACATGGCGAACAGGGGCGAGGTTTCCTAATCTGTGGAACATATGGAGGGACTTTCACTTTTATTTCTTGATATGCTAACGTTATCTATTAAGTTGCAATAATCTACAGCAAAAGACGGTCTCTTAATTCTAGACATTCAGAGACCTTAGTATTGATTGACTTACATAATTTATTTGGTGATGAATCTCACTCTACTACTTCCTCACGTTTTAGAAAACAGAAACTGGTTGCTTCTCCAACACCACTTTTACTATCACCTTAACTCATCACTCTATTTCAATGATAAGTACTAATCCTGTGTTGATGATCACTCCGTTCTCAAGGAACGAGTCAGCACTGACCGTTGAGACCACAGCTGAAGAATGCATCCTCCTCAATAGCCACGGTATTCCAATGACAAGTTTGAGGACGGATTTGTTATTGAAATCGAACTAAATCACATGTTTTACTGGCAATAGGCAACACAGACGGTCCTGATACGATAAAAGTAATTTGGCTAATAACACTGATACCGTTATTAAATGCAAGTCTTCCTCGTCGATGAACTAAAACGCTGAAGTCCATACACCATCATTTTAAGTGTGAATTTGTTAACGTCGATAGACATTCAAATAACTTAGACTGACAACACTGAATTCATCTGATAAGTCGGAATAAGTTGATTAACTGGATGATTAAATTGTATTTAGAAAGCAGACAGTAAGCGTTAACATAAAGAAGAGTTATTTAGGTAAGTGTTTTCATGAAATCCACTGCACATTAATACATTTCAGTAATATGCAGAATAAACGTTTCCGATGCTAGCATGAGCACGACATTCACATTCTTCTCCGTTTTCTTTCTCCAAATCCTGTAGAGAAAATAAAAGCAGATGAGCATTTATGATTTCATGAGAAGGTAAAAGAGGCTGAATGTTACGAGTATTGGGAGAGACACAAATGATTCGATAAGTTTTGACTACCGATGTAAACTTTAGGACATGAAGAACAAACAACGCCTGTTGTGAACATTATTCCATACCCAGAATGACTGAGAGACAGTGAATCCACGAAACTTCATCCATTCATTACATGTCAGATATCTCAAATTCAGTCATTCGGAATAATGCAGGTGAGGGTGTGGGTGTGGCTGTCAATGAAGGTGTGTTAAGGATGTCTGACATGGTTCGAATCGACTTGACCGCAACTAGTGTTCACCTGTGAAGAAGTCGTCGGTTGAGTTTTGTGGATGCCAAATCTGAGATACACTGCATGATTGCCTTCACAATACTGAGTGTGATTCCATATGATATGATATTACATGAATAAAATGATGATACACCGACACATGCAACTCTTGTCTCTGGTGCTCGGAATACAAATAATACTACTTTCACGTGGACTGCATTTCAATTTCAGTGATACACATTTATCCAAAAAGATGAGATTGCAGTTTCTCTCATGATTCAATTTTGAAAGATGAAATGTGGGAGTTCACATGAGATAGTAGTTAAATCTCACCTGCATGGACCTCACTGACAAATTGTTCAGTTTTCATGAACACTTGAAAATGAAAGAGCAATATAAAGGTGACGTATTAGTTGAAGGAAAGCAAGCCTTGTTCATCAGTATATATATTCCTTCTCTTACAAAAGATGATATCTGATCAGTAGTAATAAAATACGCTGAATAAGTGCGTGTGTATACAAATCATTTTATGAAAAACATTTCATGCTCAATCATTCAACACTGCTCGTATTGTGGTAACACTCATGTGTTAGATAGTTTACTGGTGTAGAACTGAAGGTGGCAGTTATTCCAATATCTACGTTGTGATGACGATTCACTGTTGTTATGGTTGTTGATTCTGATTTTGACAAATGTGACGGCTGGTCTCCAAGACACGTATAAACACACGTGTGAACACATCGGACAGTTTCTCCCCAACCAATCACTTTCTCCTAAATTTACTGCATTGTCAGGCAAGCACTCATAGTAATCACGTTCCTTCTTTGCATTTTCACGTTGCACAACAGAGTTATAGTCACTTGTGTGTGTTGATGTGCATAAGGTCAGCCTTTGTGCAAATAAACTGTCGCCTCCGAACATGTTGATGATTTCTACTTGGGAAGTGATCCGTTTGTCGACATTTCAGATTATTCTAGCTTTCTATGGTGTGTTGGCATTCTTCAGTGTTTAGACCTGTATACAACTGAGCGTCGCGTACCGACAGTTCTCCGAGAACCTGCATATTCCAAGGTAATTCTATTGTTGATTTCGGTTTTAAATAAATAGGTATTATCAAGCGAATAGTATTCATGTAATCGCCGAGAGTTTCGCACATAATACGATCGCTGATTACACAGAATATCAGGTAATGTTTGTGCTTTGGTTTTGTGAATAGATATTGACGCATATATCGATTGTGTCAAACCCATGAACAAAACAGACGGAACTTACAAATTTTTTCACCATATAGCATTCTGTTTTGGTATGAAAGCATTAATAAACGCTTCAATTCCTGAAGATCTGAAATTTGAAGAATAATGTCTGAATTTCAAATTTGAATGTCACAAAATCAAAAAGTGAAAAGTGATCATGCAGAATACGGTGCAATAATTGATGGTTTGGTTTAGTGTGTTGTTGTTTAAGCAGACGACTACGTGTTCATTCACTTCAATGTCGATCATTGAACGTCTTTGAAGACAGTGAAAATACTTTCGAGAAACCCTTAATCCCCTCTCGTTATGTGTTGAAATCGCATAATATTGACTCCATCAGTGTCAGGGGACTAAAAAATCTACCTTATTTGTCAATATACAGGAGTGTTCAAATTGCATCAAATGCAGTCTCAACTGCATCAGATAGTTTCACAAACTTCAGATTTCACGTCATTGCACTTTAGAGATGTAATGTGTGATAGCGACCTTGAAAGGAAAGCAGTCTGATTTCACAATTGATGTTGCATCCTGCACATTGGTAGTTCAACTTCGAATTCACTGACAACGCCACCAGATCGAAAGGCATGTGAATCCTGTGAAAGAAACTCATATGAGGATTCATTTGACTTCCGAAAATTGACCTGATGAAATTCAAAACTTTTTCACAGTATCTTCCAAAGCAGCAATATTACATAATTTATTTTAAAGGTGCGTTGTCATTAGTAGATTACCTTCTTTGTTTCCTGATGGTTTATAATGTTCACAGTCGCCTGCTTTTGATACTGATATCCATTCAGCTGATGAAGAAACAGAAAGGAAGAACAGCATATTGAAACAAAGAGAAGGGAAAATTCCTTGAAGTTATTATTAATAGCAAATACGCATGCAACTACAGGCCTATTGAATGTTAAAACACACACAAATCAATGTGTACTGAGTTATTTGGAGTTACAAATCTCCAATCCGAACTCTGTGGTTAGTGTCTGAGATAATCAGGTGGGTTCAAAACTCAAGTTGATGCCGACGTAACTGACAAGTTAAGTTAGGAATGTTTATTGGAAAAGTGAGAAGGAAGGATTCAAAGCTAAACTGTTTACCTTCGTGAGCATTGGCTTCTTTCTCGAAACATTCTCGAAGAGAATATTCTTCACTCCAGACTGTATGAAAATGTATTTTAAACAACATATCAACTCATGTTCATTATATTCTGAAGGTTTCGTTAGATAAATGCGTGAGTTTATATACTGATTGGAGAATGATTCAGATGCTCCTATCAGAAATATTCTGAAGCGACCATATGGACTAAGGTAATTACCATCGATAACTCTAGTTTCAGATTGTGCAGTAACCCAGTGATGAATGTTTTTCATAAAATGGCCTGTAAAAATACGATCCAATTCCGGTGGTCATCGTGTACACTAGAAAACCCACTATCATTGAGTAGTAGTAATTCTGATAAATTCTTAAAGTAATAATTCAGGAAGTATTTTTGATGGAGGGATCAGGGAGAGTATGGAAAGATGGTACGATGGTTGGTAAATAGAGGGTGAGCGTAATGCAAGTCGAATATGAATTGACTACACGATACCCAAGGATAACTCCAGCGCTTAAATGCAGTAGTTCCTTATCATATGACATGTGTTAAGTTCGGTTAACTAGATGAGGCGTTTATATGCCAATGAGTAACACTTATAACACATTGAGGTAGAAAATTCGTTTGTCGGATTCCATGCGGTTGTCGCTGTTGAACAAACTCGATGAATGCATTGTAACTCGAGAAGCATTGTCAACACTGAAATTATATACTGGATGCAGATAAACTGATAACAACAACACATGAAGTTAATTGACGGAAACTCAATTTACTTGGCTCCTTAGGTTGTTTTTTGATTACTATGAAGACAGAAAATGATAACTGACATTAAGTGATCATGCAAAAGAATAATTCGTAATGCAGAGTTTATAACTGTAAAGTATGTGGATTAACATCAGAGCTGACTAATTCCACGGTATACTCAACCGTAATTTGTCAATCTCTTCTATTGATTATCACAATGTAATTACACTGACCGGCTCAAAACACCCAGTTCTCATGAAATTTATTATTCCTAATTACATCTAAAGACGGAAATGATTCTCTTCAATCGTTCACTTTCCATTAGGTTGTTCTCCGTACAGCTTCACGATGAATATCTTCATCGAGTCAATGAAGTGTTCATTCCATCGGAATGTCTAGTTGACGTCATTTGCCTAATGATCGATATCGGCGACTAAACCTACATAAATGACGCGTGACATCCGAGTTTTGAACATGGTGATCCAAATCGAAGGATCAGTTAGTGTGTGCGACAAACTGGGATGTAGATTGAAGCAAGTTGATTACATCTCGAAGAAAGCAAAAGTGAAATTCCCCGAAAATGTATCCTTCTCAACAGCTTCAATGGATAACATGGCTGTCAACATTAAATCAGAGAGCAATCTCATTAGATAAGATAATTGTTTCAAGTCTGCAAGTGTTGTTTTATAGTTGTAGGATCTCACTGAATTGTTCTGGCTGCAAAGTTGCCATCTTCAACCCGAATTTGGAACATTTCAAACAAGAGCAATAACCAAAACTCATAGGATACCCATGCAATAAAACAGTATATACGGTTAAATTAATACTTGGAACATACTTTCGAATAGCTCGTATCTAAAGAAGGCTTCATAATGCTTTCTCAAACAGCTGATATCTGAAGGAGTTTGTTAGTCATAGAAATTCATCAAACCATCACTCACAGTTCTCAATGGTGCTGTTGTCTTTTCCTCCAGTTTCAAGAATAATCTTATCTAGTGAAAGAGAGAAGTGATAAGATCGATTGCATGACACCGGACACCTGTACAAAATTCAACATTCAGCATGTAGAAAACAATTAGTTATTTGGCTATTATTGGAGCACCCCAACGCCGTATTGTATTCATTTTACAACAGAGTGAATGTCATGAACATGAACGTGTGAAATTTCCGATTGAAGGGAATGTGAATAAATGTGAAGTGAATTGGGAAATCAGGTAGATGCGTGTTGATGAGTCCATCATTTTTCGTGTGGCACTAATATAATATCCTCACTTGAGTATATCTCATGTCAGCCGGTTCCATGTATTCACAATATAAAAAGTCAAAGCATTTCAATGAAATAGCCTAAAGGTAAAAACTCCTAAAAATTGAACAAATATCTCATGAGAACAGAGGATGCAGAAGTCGAGTAGACCAAATTATCAAATTATCAATCACATTGAAATAAATGTTTACTTTTCAGTTGTTTAATCGCTGCTTCTCCGTTTTTAATCAAGTCAGCTAATTTGTATGATTTTTCTATGAAAAGGAAAGCGAGAATTATTTAGCACCGATTATTGAAAGCGATAAGATGTGACGAAACATTTAGGAACAGAAAACACACAAAACCTAGTGTGGGTTAATATAAGAACAATGATATTTATCCACATAAAGTCAGTCGTCTTACTTCGAGCATCTGAAATCGCATTTTTGATGTCTTCTAACTCAGTCGATTCACCTTGAAAATTGACAAAATAAATAGAACAGTCATCGTTACACAAACTGTAACTTTGATAACACATGAATACTATGTAAGAATTTGTTAATTTCAGACGCCTGAAGAGCCATTTGAGTATTTGTTGTTTTTGATTCGAGAACTGAAACACTCTAATGAGCCAAACACCAGTTGTAGGATTAAACTTCCATGAGAGCACAGAACTGAATGTTTGCTGTACTCATTTCCTATTTCGGAAATGGAGAGATCATCGACATCGAGTTATTATTCGTCATTGACGGAAAATGATGTGTTGAGGTGATACTGAAAGTGGTGTTGGTGACATAATCACTTTTCCTTCAGAAGTATGATCACGGAATAGTCTTACATAACACTGATTTGATAAAACAATTACGTTCATCATATTGCAGAACAGAATAATTTGAAAAGATTGATTCACAAATGCACATTCATTTAATAAATGCTTACCCTCGTTCATGGTGGCAAACACCAGCAGCGTTATCATGGATATGTAAATGTAAATTGAGTTGAACATATTCTCACCTTCCTTAGTTTACTCTGGTCCAATTTTCCAGCTTTTATACTCTTCCTGATGGTGAGTTGTAGTGTTGTAATGCGTTTGTTGGTTGATAAATAGTAGTAGTGCTTATCTTGTTTTCCATTTGTTGAATGAGGCGAGTGTGTTGATTAGTTATTGGTGGTTGGTAAAGTCATTTGCTGAGTGGGTGCGTGGGTTGGTTGGTTGGCAAATGTTCAGCGTCGCTTTAGTATTCTTGTTTTCACGCTACAATTAATATTCTCTCTTAGTTAACAAGTCAGTCTTATAACATTATTCCTGCTAGATGTCGATGAAACTCAAGTGTGAGTTTAGTGTTGATTCATTTGGTTAATCCAAAACAATTCAGAACAGAAAATTTTCTTCATCGACGAAGTCATCTTCGGTGGCTGTACAGTCGTATTCATATTTATCGAAAATGCTTATTAGTCCATTAGTGAGTAGTAGGGTTGACATAATTTAGAAAAAGTAATTGGAAGTGGCTTCAAAAGTGAACATAAACTTTCTGAATAACGTGATGCTCAACGACAAAAAGGAAGGAAGTGTCAGAAATTTTGCTGAGGTTGAAATTGTTATTGAGTGAGAAGAAAGATAATTTATTGATCATTAAACAAGTGTGAGAAAATGTACAGAAGGAACATGTGAATGTGATAATAGTTAATCTATTAATAAAGTAAAAGCAAAGTTATCATTTTAAATGGAGAATCAACAAGGAACGAATTATGAAGAAGTCAAGATCGTGCTAAAATAACAGACTTGACAACCACATTCTGTATGCAGAGTTTCGGTTTGCATTCACGAATTGCTAACGTGTCCGCGTTACACAAATGCTGAAACCTGACACCCGTTGTACAATTTCACCTTACCTTGTTGATCATCTCGAAAGACGAATCTGTCGTTGTGTGGCTTGAGTGGCCCGACAAGTGCTCGAGAATTTAGCCAGTAATTGCATTGCATTGTCTTTTTGCCAATCATGCCAGATAATGTTCACAAATGCGTTTGGAAAGTGTGCAGTTAGTGCAGCCAATGTAACTGGCTTGACAGGAACACACATTCAATTAACGGCACTTCATCATTTACAAATCCATTGCTCATTGGTCGACATTAAAAATGTGATCCGTGATACTGATAAGCATTTCTTAAGCATACTGGCTGCGGCATCACCTTTAAATTCAGCGTTCATGAATAGCAGTTTCTTCGGCACCGTCTGAATCCTTTGTGGTTTTCCCTTTCTTTTCATGTTTTCCTCGAAGAATCTTCAAGGATACTCGTTTTCCATGAGGACTCGTCTGAGTGTCATCAGTTCACCATCGATTATATCAGAGGCAAATATCCCGGATATCCTTGAGGATGAGGGGTGCATCAGAATCGACTTACTTCTGAAAGACAATCACCAATGGAAATTAAGGTAGTCAAAATTACATGCGAATGTCCAGTAGATTGATTTTCAGAGAGAAGAGTCAGAATTCCGTCGAGAACTCCCTCAGAATTTCTCCAGGATTCCATTTCGCGATCACTTGGTGCAGACGTGTTTGTGGAGTTGACAGGAAAAATTCCAGATCAACACCATAACAAATGACCTTTGTGAATAATTGTTCAAACAAAGAGCCTTGCAGAATATCAGTTGTGATGTTTTCAAGCTAACGGGTCTTCATAAGCTACAATAGATGATGTTTGCTTTGAAAACACTGTGGTGACTGGTGTCTCCTCACTTATCACCTGGTGTAAACTCAGATTCCTTGATTGAAATAATTTTATAAATAATGATTATGGCTGATTCTAATATCTAGTTATATTCCCTCAATCAGTTATCACAATTATCAGAAGACGAAAGTTTCTATTCAGTACTTTGTGTGGTTATTGTCTCACTGAAATTGTTGAAGTGAATTCGAGGAAAGTGGATGAGAAATTGTGAGTGATATTGCAATTGTGTGTAGAATCAGTATTTTCGCTGTAAGCATGTGATGTGAGTAGCTACGTCGCTGCCTCGAGTCATATCAAAATATCTCACAGCCATCTTCGCTGATATTTATATGCGATTCAGTGTGATCCTTCGCTTCTCTATCCTGTTTAAACAGTCTGATGCTGATTGCTTTAAAGAGAAGTGAAGCGAAGTGTAGGATTATTTTTGTCCTACAGATTTAGTCCTACCTCAATACTGACGATACAGAGTCTCGGCTTAGCTATAGTTAAAAACAGGATGACTTGACTTAACTTTATCTGTTTCTAAAACATAAAATAAATCATAAAATTACACCAAGAAAAATGTACAATCCACCGTCATTACAAAAAACGGACAAAAACGTACCGAACAGCATTGAAGGTACGGACAAAATGAACAGTCAATTAATTACATGCATATACAAGTAAAGTGACAGACAAAAAAGAACATTCAAGGTCATCACGTGGTGAGAGTTACAATAAATTGGCCAATAATCGCGACAAAAAAGGTCACAAAATATTGATTGGCTGTTTATCATACCGTCTATCTATCTGTCGCGATTAACACTCCCCGCGAACGATCACCACGTTGACCTTTCGTACGCTTCTTATATCTTGTTCCATTTCTTGAGTTGAAGTTTTCAAACACAGCGTCCTGACGTGGCCATCTTGGTCATAGTACATCTGCTTAACTATAGCCTTTCGCCAGAGACCTCTCTGTTTGTCAGCACTGTTAACTAAGACGAGATCATCAGGTTGTAGGTTGTGCTTTATATCCAACCACTTAGATCTTGTTTGCAGCATCAGAAGATATCCACGTAGCCATTTATGCCAGAGCAAATCAGTCAAATATTTTGGAAGTAGTTGACTATAGCGTTGGGAGAAAGCATATCCATACATAGCATTCGCTTTACCTTTGTAATATTGTAATTTTCTTAAGAATTCACCAATTGCTGAACGAGCCGCAGTTAAAGGCCTTTTTGGAACTAAGGAAATACACAAATCAGGTGCATCGTCCTCACCGACTACTTTATGTGTACGTCCCATAGAATCGTCAGCTTCAATCAAAACTTGCAGAATCGCATAACGAGCAGAACAGTGTGCTTGACACCATGATACAATGTCATCAGCATTTTCTGCTGGAGAATAAAACTCCATGGAAGTTACAACTGAAGGAGACATTGACAACCAATTAATATAGACTACATCTGAGACATTGCCTTGAGCACAGTTGGTATTCAGACCGAACTGCTCCAGAACAAGAGGTAAATCAGATAAATAAATTCCAACGCACTCAGCTTGACACTTGTCTATTGCAGATGAAAGGTTTGAAAACTTGCTGTCATACGTTTCTCTTGGTTCACACCAACTTTTTACAGGACCTCCATTTATGACATATTCAGTAGTTTTCGTGTGGAGATTTCGTTTTCCATAACAATCACGCCGAAACAGTTTACCTGAACCATATCCCGTCAGTTCATGAAGTCCAACTTGTAAAACAAAGGAACTTTCAGCATGTTCCACGTACATTTGCTTGTCTTGATTACGTAGAAATTCTGGTTTAGGATCTTCGAGACGACCACTAAGTACATTAACCAAAGAGACATTTTTAAATCCACCAACTTGTCGTACATCATCATAGTTAGGAATGTTAGTTCCAAAAGGAATTCCAGAAGTTTCAAACGTAACTACATCCGAACTAGTAAAGTCTGGCTGTAAGAAATTAACTTTTTCAAACGTAGAAGGCCATGGTAAACTTGTCAACAACCTTTCAGCATTATTCACAAGTCGTTGGAATTTTTTAGACACTGATCTATTTACAACAGCGACAAATGATTCAAACCTTGCACAAACACCAAAGGGATCACGGTATGACTCTATAAACCCAATATACTTTTCAACAACAGGGTTCTTATCTTTAACCCATAACCTGAAGGCATCTTTGTGAGTGGCTACTGAGCCAGTAGTGAAGCTTTCGGCAAACTGATGCCACATTTCTGATTCGATTTGGTTAAGCGAATGTGCTTTAAAATCTTTACAACAATCGACTAGTAACTTCATCAGCTCACCATAGTCACCATATTCAAGCCGCAAAGATGTGTCCGAGGGAAGGGCACCTCTTAACTTCTCACGACGTTGACTTAGAGGGATTTGCAGATCATGGCAACGTTGGGCTAACTGTCTTTGTTTTTCTTGGATAATAGGAGCGTCGAAATGACTTTCTGCAGCAAGCGTGTCAGCATGGACTTTGAATGCATCTATACGTTCACGATGAGTAGTTACATCAGATTCAAGCAAGTTGTGCCGCTTTTGTGCGTTGATCACACCGTTTAGATCACGATCGACATTCTCTGAGGCTATCTGAGCTTCAACATCATTCAACCATAACTCGACATCTTCTATGTTGCGAGCGAACTGTTGTTGCCTACTTGCTTGATCTAAATTTTTCTTCTTGTCTCCCATGGCATTTACGAGATGAGACCAAGTTTCATCCAACTGTTCAATCTTTACTTTTATTTCTAGTGAGTTGTAGTGGTTTGCATTTAACAAATCCTGACCTGTCTTTTTAATATCTTCAACGCGGGACTGGTTCGCTTGTATTTCTACCTCAAAACTCTTATGCTTCTGCACCTTTGTTTGCAAGTTCGTGGACTCTTTGTAACTTTCATCAAGTGCATTTTTAAGTTTTCCTGATATCCATGACTGCATTTCATCTGCAACTCTATCGAACATTTGGTAACGGTGGGAATCTTGAAGATGCTGACGGCGGTTCTGAGCTTTCTCTTTTAATGCATTTCGTCTACTTTGAAGACCTTCCTGAATCTCATCGACCTGTGCAGCCGCATAGTGGTTTGATTCGACTAAGTTTGCAGCGAATTCATTAAGTTGTCGCATTTTTTCTTCTTGTGCTAAAAGTGACTTTTCGAAGTCTTCATGTTTCCTTATAAGTGCTTCCACTGAATCGAGTGAGTCTCCCACATCTTTTATTTCTAAGAGGGCCTCTTGCTTACCAATCCAAGATTCCAACTGTTCAGCATCGC